AAAAAAATATATATATAAACACATGTGACTGCGCAAATGGTGCCTGTACCATGCAGTCCATGTGCCTGTACCACGTACCCGTGCCACGTACCCGTACCCCGTACCATGTACCATGTACCACGTACCCGTACCATGTACCATGTACCATGTACCATGTACCAAATCCATGATGTACCTAAATCCGTGGTACGGGTACGTGGTACGGGTACGTGGTACGGGTACCACATGGTACATGTATCTGGTACGGGTGGAGGCGCATGAGGTAGGTACCTGGGTACATATGTACATACATGACAGAAACCTGACAGGTGGCAGACCATGGAGGATGGTTGGTACAATATCCGACAATCCAGGCCATGGACAAGGCGCTTGATGCTGACCCGACCGCCAACCACCGGTTTTTGGGGCAAAGACAAACCTTGGTGGAGCGCAAAATAGAGGATCCACGAGCGAGGATCACAACCTCCTCGAACCCATTTGGGCCAGAGGAGACGGTTTCGGTGACTGAACGAAAGACCCAAGGGCTCAAGGCACCAAAGAAGTCATTCATTGAGTTGTCTCAGTACGAGAAGAGGTACGGGAAAGCACCAGCCGATCGAATCAAGGTTCAGTACTTCAATGGTGTTGCTCTGACAGGTGTCGATGTGGTCAATGAAGCTGACATCGGAGTTTATGAGTATGTGGACGAGTGTGCTACTTCCTTAGATAGAACCACTCAATTGTCTACACCAGATACCACTCTGAGTGCTGACCAGACCAATGTGATACATGAAGCAGCCCTGAAACAGATGGCCAAGCCAGCCACGGAATGCGTCACTTTGACGAGTGTTGCTGAGAGTGTGAAGGATCACAAAAACACAAAGGCTGAGAGTGGAGAAACAAAGGTTGACGGTGAAGAGGAAGCTGAAGATGATGACAATGAGGATGACGGTCCGGTTTTCACCGGTCAGCCATTTGCTTCCTTGTTTCTGAGAATGAAGGGGTCTGACAAGAAGCGAACTGCCTCACAGGCAGGAGTTGAAAAGATCAAAGAAAACAAGCTACCCAAAAAACCAAAGGGTGGCAATGCGAAGAAGCGCAAGAGTGGTGAGGAACCTGAGGCTCCACCTTCCCCTAGTGGCTTTCGACGTCCAGCTCCTATACCATCAAACGATGAAGACAAGTCTCTCATTGCATCGTATGAAAAACAGCTACAAGGCCATAGTGAACTCAATCCTCCGTCGGCAGACGACAATGCTTTCGTTCCATGGGCAAAGACTCGTTTAGCGGATTTGCAGGGGTTGAAATCAGGCCTTCAGCTGAAGAAAAAATCATTGAGCAGACGCAAGGGTGATTGTGAAGAATTGACTACCTCAATGAATCATATCGCCGGCGAAATCGACAAGATGGTTGAATTCCTCAAGGCTCTGATGCAGGGGACACCTCAAGGTGCATCGTTGCTGGAGAAACTCATCGCCTATTCGGAGTCAGACGGTGCACGACCTTCCGCGGGCATGTGGAAACGCTGCCTCCGGGCATTGGCATTTGAGGACAGAGTGTTGAGAGACGAGATGTGTGTTGTTGTGTTTCTTTAAATACATAATTAGTGTTGCATATATACATATTTTATATACAATAGTATATATATTTACAAATATACTATACTAATCTATACTATATTTTTACTATTTAGTCATTGTTTATATTAGTAGTAGTATATTGGTATTTATTACATGACTCCTACACAAGAGGCTTCAACCTTGCTAGGATCTGAAGTTGGCCCAATGGTCAAAGTTCTTCCAAGAGACATATGAACATTGTGTGGAACGTTTGGGAGCAGACGATGGCAAAGAGTACTTTACTCTTTTGACCGCACAATTGTTGCAACGACTGGTCAAGAACCTTTCCAAGGTCAGTTGGGCAAATCTGGAATTCTTGTTTGCCTTTGTCAGTGAATTGGCAAAACACGCCAGCAAGGTTGTGAAAACAACAGATGATGAAGAGGCACTGAAATACATTCAGGCGATTGTAGACAAAGCATCTCCACCGGATTTGGTGAAGGAAGGGGTGGCAGCTTTTTCCAAATCTAGCTATCTTTGGGAGAATTGGATGATTCAGTGCTTCAATCTTCAAAACGGAAAGAAGCTTATTGAGTTTGCTTCAGAGAATGCTGACCGTCGTGAATCTCAGTCCAAGACAATTTCTGGCATATCGGATTCTTTGTTGGCTTTGACCAACATGGATGCCAACCGGCTGGGGACTGACTTTAGCTATTCGGTCTCGATTGCTCAGCAGCTCAAGAAAGCGCGCAAAGCAGTTCATGATCCAGGCAAGGAACCTGCATCTAAAATTAACAGCTGTGTATTCTACTATGTTTATGAATGATAATTCCACTGAAATCCTGAACTTGGCATGTGGAGGCGCAAAAGCTTTGAGTAATACTGACCGGGAGCAGCTGATCAAGCTTCAGGAGGTCATCAAGTCAACTGTGCTGCAGCTTCTTCAGTCTTTCATCGGCGGGGATGTTGTAGCCACGTTATCGAAGCAAAGCGTCTTGATTCAGAATAAGGATGAGATCCCAGAGGTGAGACTGGTCAGTCCCGACCACTATTTGCTACACCTCCAGGACTACACGGAGTTTGGATTGATCAAGGAGATCATTGAATTCTCAGAGTATTTCAGGCAGTTCCTTGTCACCATCAACAAGTCCTTACTTGGCCACTTGAAGCCGGAAGATTCACAAGCAGCCCTTGTCGAATGGCAAGGAAAAATCAAGAAGTTGCTTTG